AAATGAACCAAAATATTGAAATTTAACACTTAACACTTTGATTGCCGCGGTAGACGGCAAAAGTTCTGATCAGGCCAACTCATCTGTATTCGGATGAGAATTTTTGAATACTTAGGAGGTATTTGAAAGTATTTGAAAAAAAAAATGATTGTTAATTGTTGAAGGAAAGAAACGACAATGAATGTTGCTGGCAGGTAAATTCGTTCTGTTCACTAAACTGAATTGTGCATTCTTCGGTATCAAATTCTTCTTTCTTCCTGAACGACCAACTCTTATAAAATCTAATCAGCTGTATCTACACATTCATTATCACTCTAATTATTAGTATTCGAATCATAATCTGAAGATGTAATTTTATTTACAGTTATCTTTCTGAAAAATACGAAGTGTTCTCACCGTTAATATAACGAATTTTTCGAAGCCTGTAAGATCTGTCTCTGTGATTCCATATGAACTAAATTAGATCCTACAATGAACCTGGCGAAATCTCGTACAGTCATGAATAAATTACCAGAACAGAAGAAGGTAAAAATTAACCCTTTATTTAATTCAAATGATTAACAGAAATGCACGATCTTTGTGCTTACAATGGCACCTTCAACTTGCGGTGAAATCGAAACGTAGAATATAGTTCAAGTCAAAATCTAAATAAAGTTGACTCAGAAAAACCTAACAGACGAGATATGATAATCCGAAATGGCCAAGAAGCTTATTAACGTAACAGCGAGATAGCAACGAAACGTGCGCTGGCTAGCGAAAACACGCTCTGAATTAACTCAAAGATTCACTTCACTACTTTTAAATTTATATTCTGGCGAGAAAATGTGAGCGGAAGCTGAGGAGTTCAGGAAAGGTATCAAACTTAAAATAAATTTGTTATGCAAAATAAGAAAAAACGCTAGAAGCCTTTCAAAATGTTACTTCTTTACTGCTATAGGATTCATTTAAAAATTTGAACAATTGAAACTTCTACTATTGCATGCATGATGGATACTAAAAAAATATAAAAATACAAAGTCAAGAAATACCTTCCGATGAAAATATCTATAAATTAAAAATTTCTCTATAAACTATACACAAGCAAAGGTCTGACTGTTGATTCTGTTACAAATCATTTTTATTTAACTGAGAACAATGTATGATTGAAAGTAATTTTATCCGTAACATTTGACAATGTTTTGCTCATAATGTGTTTAAACACATTAATCACTTCATTAATAATAAATGTACTTCGAACAATAAATTCTTACTGCTTAAAAGTACGCAATTAATATTTGAACGATCATAATTCACAAAACTGGGTTATTTTAAATTCCCAGTGACGTCTCAGTAACAACTGATAAATATACTACTCATGAAGAGTTGGCACAGTGTATAAGTGTAGTCAAAAGAGAGCATATTTAAACATTTATGAGAAATGTCTTATATTTAAATATTAAAATATGATATATACCAGATGATTACCTAAAGTGTTACTGATTACAGCAGATAATGCCCCAGGTTGCAAAATATTTCTAAAATTATAATATTGCCATACTATGTTTTGCAGAATTAATAAAAATTATTAAAGAAAATTAAAAAGATGTTTAATAACTTACGCTGAGTTTGCGCAAATGCAAATACATGTAATTTCACAGGGATAGCAATTTCTTTTCCTAGCGGCAATTTTTTGATGCTTTAAATTTAATTAATGATGGAAGTTACGAATGTTGCTCAAATGTAATCACGCTCCATTGGAGCTCTTAACGACTCTTCATTAAGAGAGAATTTTGAAAGGGAAATGAAATAAGAGTCCTAATTGCCTATTACGAAAGTTTAGCTTCTAGAAATTTCTAACTTTTATGCATTAGTTTGTAGCAAGAAAAAACTGAGAATGTGTGAATTAAATGATACTGTTATATGATATATAAATGATAACTTCTAATTTAAATAAGCGATATTAAAAACTGAAAACGCAAAATTAATCTAATTAGATTACTTCATTTTAACGTGAATTCACCATTTCTAATGTGAAATGCAGAAATTAATTTGAAATATAGATTACGTAATAAAAATATTTGTACAAGACTAAATTGTGTAGTGTATGTGACCCTTCATTTGTTTTTTTTTTTAATTTAATGTTTAATATTTATATTCAACTCTGTAATCTGGAAGGTAATTTTATGTCTTCAGTATTTAAAATTTTCTTCATCTTGTTTTTTAGTTTAAAACATTAAACTAATGTTTCATTTGTCGCAAAATAAAATTCAAGTACAAAGCTAAAAGAAATCCATCAGATGTTTCTTATCATTTACTGTGGTAAAACTACTAAGTATTTATACAGTCAGACCTCGCTATAACGACTTTAACGGATCGAAAGTTAGGTTCGCTATATCCAATCAGAGAAATGGAACATTTCAGAAAAAAGTGTTAAAACTTACTTGTGAATCCCAAAAACTAATTACGCAGCCATGTGTATTAAAGTTGTGAATGATAAATTTATAATTCATTTTTAAAATTCGTTTTTTTTTTCAAACTTGCAATTTTTTAATTTGTAATTTATTTATTTTTTTAAAAAATAAAATTAAGAGTAATTACAATTTTTTAAAAAATAATTATTAAATATTTTTATTGTTTTTCAGTCTTATCATACCTTAATAATTTTACATAAATTACTCAACACAAAATTCTTCCCTCGAATGAGTATCTCTTTCCGAATGTGCAATTGCTATTTTAAAGGCGTATAATTTGAATGTTGCTACACTAATTCTACTTTTTCTGCCTTTCGATCTCAAGTGTTGTGCCATTAAAAAAAGTCTGTAACGATTGGTTTCTATTCAGGACACACTTCTGCTGAATTAAGTTTTCTTCAAGCAAAATTCCATAAGAACATTTAACCTTTCCCCCCTGTGTTGATCATTATTGTCTTGAAAACGTTGTTTCACGCTTTCTTAATTTTATAAAATTTAAATCAGAATATTGCTACTAATATCCATATCTTCTCTTCTTCATAAAAATAATTAATATGGTTTTATACTGAATGTATGAGTAACGGTGTCCTCATTTCGTAATATTTTTGGATACCTATGCATGACATGTTAGTATAAAAGTAAAATTGAGACTAGAAACTGCTAATATCCTAGAAAAAGTCCATAGACTCAAAATAAGCAAATTGATCAAATTCGTAGACTAAATGACATTTTTAAAGTACATAAAAATCTTAATTTGAGGAGAGAAAAAATAGATTCGAGTCTTACAAGTATTTGCATTATTACAACAAGTGCGTGGCAACTGACACATCATTAAACAAAGAATAAGTACACTGAAAACAGACTTTTATTCAATTTATGATATTCATGTTTTTTCATTTAAATGACAGTTTTCATTTGAATGACATTTTAACAATAAAATATTTCATTTTCTACAGTTTTAGCCAAAAAAAAAGTTAGTTCTATGTTTTTTCTGTTTTTTACAGTTTTTAACCACAAGTCACGCAATCCCCGCCTGAAACCATGAAATTTCTTTTTACAGAGGGGATAAGTCATGTGTCCTTACCTTTCTCCTATGTGGAATGATACGATCGATAATCATTAAAATTATTAATCTGACGTACTATTGTAAGCGCTGGTTGTTTTTATTATTTTCTGAAAGTTTCTCAGCAAAACCAATTTCAAAAAAAATCTTTCAAAACATATATATTCTTTATTTTACACGTCGCAAGAAAGATTAATTTTTAGACAAGGTATATGCGAAAAATTGTTTATTAGCCTAGATTGAAACAGTCAGAAATACTGTCGATTACGCATAGAGCAAGCTTCCAATTACATCACGAAAGCATGCGGAAAGGAGGGAGAAAATACTTTATACGTTTGTCTCGAAATGCAACATAGTTACATTCTTATTAATATCGATATTATAATTATATATTTTTTTTCCTTGGGACGAGGAAATCAGTCAAAAGCAGCATGTGGTCCGTGAGCCGTGAGTTTGACATGCTATTCTACATATTCTTGCAGCAGCTGTTTCTAGATTATTAGAGATGCTAATGTGTTAAAACGACAAAATACAATAATTTAATAAAGCAACATGTTTTGTTTCCTGCTTTCATAAACATACAATCTGAAACGAAAGCGCGAATAATTGCTGTTTGGTATTAGTGAACAGTGGCAAGATATGCTGATCTAACATGGTGTGTTGCCGTTAGTATGCGTGCATGACTTTTTAACCCTTTCGCCGTCCTCTCCTGTCCGCGAAAATTTCTCCCGAGCGGTTTTTCGCAGCGGGTAATGTTGTTTTCTCTGTGCATATAAAACTTTTCGTACATAACTTTCGTAGTGAATGAATTTAAATGAATATTAAGTAAAATTATAAGGAAATAAAGCATAATGGAAAAGTAATAATATCTCTGCTTATTTCTAACAGCATGATCAATTTGATCAAGGCGGTCCACTCCTCCCATTTTGTTTTTGTAATCTTTTACAATTATTCGTTTTTCTACAATTCCTTTTCCGTGTTTCAACATCAATCATAGAGTTATTATTAACTGTATTCATCAAACGTATATCCTTCTTGTCTTTCCAATTCACAACCTCATTTTTTCTCTTCTTCTGAGTAGAAGATGAAGATCTCTCACTGTCGTGTATCTTATGTAAAATGGCGCGAATATTCATAAAACCCGAGGGGAAATTCAATTAGAAATAGAATGCTGATTAGTACTACCGTCTAGGATGTATTAGAACAAACACAAATAAAAACTCAAGTAAACATTTAGAAAGCGTTTTAAACATTTAAAAGATTTAAAATGTAGAAGAACGCTTGAAGCGCGTTACGGCCGCCCTGAAGAAGTTTCACTTGAACACGCTAGACGCGTTGCGGACGACGAAGAGGTTAACTATCGACATTTCCTATTTAAATTAGTTGTTCCATGAAATTTTAAATAAGACTTCTGAAAGCATTCAAACATTTTAGCTAAATAAAATTAATTCTAAAATAATAATTACGAAATTCAGACAGAAACTCACCCTCTGTTTGGACCGAACCACATCATTTTGGAGGTCTGTGTTCTCTCCGATGACTTTACTGCCCCAAAGTACACATCCAACCCATGTATACGTCACCGCCATAGAACCCATGGGTGCTACGTATGTCACCAGCAAGAAGACGATGTTGTACCTGTTGAATAAGAAAGTTTAAATTGGGTATAAACACCATTGTTTATGATATATAAAATCGAAAATAACAGGGGAATTTAATGTGGTTAATTTCAGTTCTGGCCTATGCTAGAAAAGTGAATGTCAAAACTATAGAAACTCTACACTAAATTTATTCTAAATCTTTCTTAAATATAAAGTACTGTTAAATTTCGGTTTTAGATTCTTTTTACTGAGTCTATACGTTTTATTAAGAAATCATGAAAATTCCTTCGGTTTTTACAAATAGTTAACTATAATAAATATTTAATTTTATTAACATTATATTTTTATTAATAATATTATTATATATTTATTAATAATTAAATAAAGCGCGGCTAAATACTAATAACAATATTCTACAATATTTGTTATAGTTTCGTAATTCCACGCATCTGAAAAATACTATTTACTCTGATAAAATATTTAGAGTAGGGAAAAGAATCGAATTTCGACTGGCAGTGATTTTAAGAAATAAAATGGGACTTATAAATTTTAAAACAATCTCTACATGATTACATTTTCCTAAATTTAAAATAGAAAACAAAGGCCATATCACGCCATACAATAAGCGAAACTAGACGAAACGAATGTTTGCTTCTTTTTTAACATAGTGAATAAAATTATTTAAATTATTGTAGAATAGTTAGAATAATTACTGTAGAGTAGTAATTAGTTACCGCCAAGTTTGGCGATTTTTGAGATATCTTTCCAATTTAGAGAAATAGCAATTTACTCAGTGTTAAATAGACTTCCTCTGTATTCTTATTTTTCCAGTAAAGCATCGCTTTCCTAAAGCTCTTCATATTACATTATACAGAAAAATTCAATAGTTTCACTAAAATTGTCTGTCTATGAACAAAATTCGTAGCAATGTAATAGTGTAGATGAATTATTTGCCAAATTTTTAAATTATGATTAAAAATATTTGCCAGGCTAAATAATAATAATACCTGTTTAATTCGATTTTCGTCCGATGACTGTTTAAATAAAATGAAATCGATTTGTAAAACTATTAATTATAGGAAGATATTCAAAAAATTTCTTCCTACTTCAGACCTGTACTTTCTAAAGCCACACTTTGATTATTCCTTACAGAAATTATTTTATTACGTTTAGTTTTAATTTCGAATCTGTATCTTGAGATTATCACCTGAGTTAAAAAGAATCTCATGTAGGTACAGCGTTGCAGGAATAAAAATAACTACAAGTCAGTAAAAAATCGTTGTTTCATTGGAGTTGATATTTATCCTCTTTACTTTTAATAAACACATATATATTTTTAATCTTCTTGCCAGTAGTCACAATCTCCTCCTTTGTTATTTTTTCCTAATATCTCTGCTTCTAAGCATATGTTTGCTTACGCAAAGATGTTACGCAATATATATAAGATACATGGTTACGCAATATGTTTCCTTGCATAGTCCCGTCCCGTCGTCCTACTTTATGAATTGTTGACCTACGCGAAATGCGGCATCGAATGTATTCCATAAAATATTGCTGACGCGTAAAATACACATGTCATAAAATATTGCGGTCAGGTCATGTTTTTATCTTACGTTCAAACTATAGTCTGTTTAAAATAAGAAATTTAATCAAAATCGTAAAAACAACCTTGTATTTAGCGTAGGTATAATGAAACACTCAATCGATTTCGAGGGTAGCTAAAGGTCCCTCTTCATCAGGAGAAAGAAATACCTAGAAAGAAGAAAATAAAGGAGAAGGAGTCACAGAAACACGTGGTTCTTATCAGCATTGTACGTGGTTATAGCTGGATTTTTAATCAGAGTTGCACTGGCCGCCTACTTTTACTGAGCCAGGCTATCTGATCGAGCATGAAAAATTAGCGACGTTAAAATAGGGAGCGAGGGGCAAATGCACCTTACGCTCAAAATCTGAACTTCAAATAATGGAAAGCAACCACTGAACGGATTTTTATACCCTTCACACATACTGAAATAAATGAGTTGGTTTTGCTTACTAAAGTTTCTCTCAATCAAACCCACTTTGTTTTCCAAAATGCATATTTTCGTCAACTTGAAGGATTGGCTGTGGGTAATCCTCTCAGTCCGGTACTTGCTGACATTTATATGCACTATTTTGAGATGAAATTATTTGATAAATTATCTTTTCGTCTTTGGATTCGGTATGTTGACGACACTTTCGCACTTTTTGACGGTTATAAAGAGGATTTATACGAGATTCTATCTATTATGAATTCAATTGATCCAGCCATCCAATTCACCCTTGAAATTGAATCCAACATTCCCTCCCCTTCCTCGATATTCTTATAATCTTGCAATGAAACTGATTTTAGCACCACTGTGTACCGTAAACCCTTTGCAGTTTTGTTACCACCCATGCCAAGTCATGCCACCCTGTTAAGCAAAAAATGGCTTCTTTTTTACTATATGTATTCCGCGCGCTTAAAGTTTGTTCCTCTGAATCTTTGCTTACCAATGAACTTAATTATTTGAAAGCAGTTGCGATTGCCGGGGATTTTCTCCCGTGATTATTGATCAAGCCGTTAAACAACTTTCAGATTCCCATCAAAGAAGACATTCCACTCTTAGAAATAATATTAATGACCTTGTCGTGCTTCCATTTTATCCTTCTGTTAGCTATAAAATTGCACGGATTCTCCAGAATTCAATTTTCAAGTCGGTTTCTCCCCTATTAATAAAATTCCATCCTTCGATTCTAAAAGATTGCGTTTCTGTCTTGAATTCTTGGGGAATTTATAGTATATCGCGTCAGTGTGGTTTAAGATATATTGGCCAAACGAAAAGAGCGTTGAAGTTTCGTATCAAGGAACATGAATCTTATGTCAGAAAAGGCGAAATTAACATACATAGCATATCATACTCGGACTTTTAACCATAATTTTGATTTTGGATCTGCAAAAATTATCCAAAAGGCTTCTTCCATAGGTGAATTGGATTTTCTTGAGGCTTTTCACATTCACAAAGATTTAGCAGGTGTAGTTAATGATTTGAAGTCCAATCCAGTCCTTCCTAAAGCCTTTAAAATTCTACTATCTTAATTCAGTTATTTATGCCGATAGATGGCGTTACCTCCTCGCGTTTGGTACTACCAGAGGGTATAAAAATCCGTTCAGTGGTTGCTTTCCATTATTTGAAGTTCAGATTTTGAGCGTAAGGTGCATTTGCCCCTCACTCCCTATTTTAACTTCGCTAATATTTCTTTATGCTTGATCAGATAGCCTGGCTCAGTAAAAGTAGGCGGCCAGTGCAACTCTGATTAAAAATCTAGCTATAACCACGTACAGTGCTGATAAGGACCACGTGTTTCTGTGACTCCTTCTCCTTTATTTTCTTCTTTCTAGGTATTTCTTTCTCCTGATGAGGAGGGACCTTTAGCTACCCTCGAAATCGATTGAGTGTTTCATTATACCTACGCTAAATACAAGGTTGTTTTTACGATTTTGATTGTCACATTGGCGCGTTTCTCTTCTAGTCAAGAAATTTAATGCCGTTTTTCTTCTCCCGAACTGCCTCGTAACTACAGAAACGACAGCCTCAGGCGATGGATCGAATCGCCTAATTTTTTCCCTTTACTTCTTTTTTTTTAGCGTATTTCTTTTTTGAACTGCATGCGAATTAAGACTGACTTGAACTACAACCTCAAATCAGGTAGAGAAAACAAGTGTTATGTGGTGATGACGACAAGCGTTACTTTCGCATAAAGGTAGGTTGGGATTGTAACGGCCTTGAAGGGCCTTTTTTTAAAGATATAGACTATAGTTTTGTGAGAACAAATATTACATATTGTGTTTCGCTTCCGTCAGTATGGTACAAATTTTAAAGTTTGTATTTGGAATAACATTCGAGCGTTTCAAACAATAAACTTCACTTTCACCTGTTCTAAAGTGGTCAGTAGTGTCCTTCACAACTGACTTATGGAATACAGTGACATTTTGAGAGTCCACTTCAGTGAAAACGAAGCAAACGTGGTCATTGAGTTTTCATTACTTCATTTAATTAGTCTTGTATTTTTTACTGGATTTCTGGCTAAATCTAGGACTGTTAACATCAAACCTCATGAATGCGCATTCTGTGTTTTATGCGCAAGGCATATTAATGCATGTTTTCGCTCCCCGTTACATCTTCAGGATTTTCACTTCCAATTAATCATCGGAGTTATCAAAAGTCTCATTAAAGTGTACCGTTTTCGGTTAAAGAATGTGAAACTAACCATTAAAGTGAAGGACAGTGTATATCAAGATAGATGTTTCCAGAATATATAAAAAAGATCTCTTATGAGTAACTGTTAGACTACAGGTAAAACTCATTATCGAATAAATCCTGCTAACCTATACAAGAAAATGTAAAAGCAAAACAAATTAAACACACGCATAAAGCTTTCGTATCATCAATTAACCTGATCCGGTGTTTGAATCATTTGTGTAATATCACACTTTTCCTAAAACTACGACTCCTTTTACTTACTTAAAAAAAGAGACAAAATTCTTAATTTTAAAAACACATTAGCAAGTTTTAATCAAAAATAAAGCGCCACTAGTCGCAAAATTTAAGATTATTTAATTTAAAATAAATCCTGCTATAATTCAATAAGTCTTTCATTAATATTTTTGTAATAGAATTTCATTTGTGTCTCGGAGGGTATTATTTTAATGAAGCATAAAATTAATTTTCCTGCAAATAACGTAGATCTTTCCTTATAATTTATAACGTCTAAGCAACACACAGTGCTGTCTCCAGTATAATTAATTTTATGTTAAGCAAAAATACCCTCAAAAGGAAAAGTATGAAATAATATCTGAAATAGATTATGAAATTAATTTCTGTTATATGATTTCGTATATTAAAACATTAAAAGGTAACCGAACTGCTATATTTTAACAGGCATTCTTTTCCTTTACATGTTTAAGATTGCATTTATGTTTTAAATGTCAGTGCTCCTCATTTTAACGCTAAATATGGACTGAAGCATAATTCCTGTGTGATGAAAACAAATTAAGAAATACATTTTGTTGGGCGAGATAAAACAGCGTTTTTGAAAAAGTACTTAAAGAATGCGTAAGGTCATTTTTAAATTTTGTGATAACAATAGGGATAAAAATATCACATGCCAACATTTATACAGAGATAGTAATTTTCAGATTTTATGTATTGCAAAGAAGACAGTATTGCAAAGCCCTAAACAATTATGGCTTTTCTTTACTTATTCGGCTAAATCAAGCAGGCTTTATTTGAAAAAATATTTCGTTTTTCTAATTTCATCAAAATATTTTTTAATTATTTTGATGATAGTAAAGAGAATCTATTCTCATATTTAAAACCAAAATGGCGAACATTTATTTTATAATACAGATGATTTGAATTTGGACTTTGAAAGAAAATAACTGCAATTTTGATACAAAAAAACGAATCATTGAAGGAAAGGCGAGCGTCAAATATTGCGCCACCTGTGACGAAATGATAAGAAAAAAAATTTTCCTTAGGGGCTAGTACCGTTAGATAAAATTACATGCTACAGCATGCTTATAGTATACTTAAAATGTTTTATTTAAAGTTAAAATTAAATTTTACTTAGTTCATATGAAATCTATAGCGATCAAGAATAATTTAAGAGAAAAAAAAAAGAAACTTATATTTCAGTAAGGGAATTTGAATTGCATATTCCAATTTAAGTTTAGAAAGGCTGGCAAATGTTAATCGAGGATTTTAAGGTAAAAATTAGAATATAGTTTTAAATCAGGACTGCTTTCTCATTAGAGATAGAACTCGACCAACTTAGCTCGCAGTTTCCAAGTTCGAAATATACCTTACACTAGGTAAAAGGTTTGAAATAAGGAATTTTAGTATGAAGAAATCAGGCATTAGAGAAGATGTATAAGCTTCTAATCTACAATTTAATATCAAGCATTTTACTTTTATATTTTGCTTAATCGTGGTGAACGTGGCTGAATCGCTATCTATATAGGTAAGCTTGCCCTTAGGCCTTTTTTGTTCAAACAATTCTTTTGTATTCATAGGATCTATACCAACAGAATCTTTATTCAACTGTTCTTTTGCCAGTGGTAGGCAAAGGTGGAAAGTATAGAAGGTTAGATTGTGTTACATCCTTATGATTTGTATTCTGCCTCACGATGAGGCTTATATTTAGAGTTTGATGGTGTAGTGTTTGAAAAAGCTACTATTTCTAGATTTAAGATCGATCATATAAAATAATTGTCTTATGCTCAATGAAGAAAAGTCTTATACTCAATTAAAAGCACTGCAATGGTTCACCATCACCAGGTCCCCTTCTCCTTTGCTTGGGCTTCGACAAAATTGACTTCTATCGCAATGTTTTACTGGTGATCACTCTTTTGAGGATGAACTGCATTTTGTATCTGATTTCTTTTTTGCAGATCAAGAGAAACAGGCAATAGCAGTTTCACTTAGAAGAGACAAAATTACTTACATGTGGTCGGAATAAGAAGTTCCCGCTGGTCCATCTGGCCAAACCAGGTAGCAGATTGTGCGATAACCTCTGTCTGCGTACCTAAAAGTCATGGTCGTAGAGTACATGAGAGACGGACACGAGAGAGCTGCACCTGCCAACCACACGCTTCCCAGGATGGCATATGCACAAGACTTCGACATCCGACGTCGCAAGGGCCTCACTATAGCTACAAACCTACAAAAGACGAGTAAAAATATCATTTATTTGAATTTTTTTGCATTTAATAGACATGATATTTAATGTTTTTTTATTGTTATTTCTAAAAATAATTGTAAATGAGCTTTTGAAATTTTTGTTATTACATTAGACATTAATTTTACCTCCAGCCAATCTATGTAAATAAAAAGGTCATGTCAGAATTTCGCTCCAAAATTTCGAAAATTGGTTTTCAATGAATAAGCATAACTAACGTCACCATATTACGTTTTGGCTACTTTTACAATGATGTCTGTCTGTGTGTATCTGTATGCCGAATTTTTCGTCCATGATAACTTTGTATCAAACGTTAAAAATTTTCTATTTGCCCGATTAAACTTTTTGCTTTCACATAAAAAATAATTAAATTTACAGAAATATTGAGGAACCGGAAGTGGTACTTTACTTTGAAGTCCATAACAAGGCTTTATTGGGCAACTGGAAGCTCTATAACAATTTTGAAACGATCAGCATGACGTACTATTGCATATATAAACCCTAATGCAGAATTGGGATGGAAGGAGCATTGTTTACTAATGCCTAAATACTGAGAAAATGTACCTGCAAATCAAAATGAATTTAACATTCTTCATACTAAGAAAATAACACGGAAGAAAATTGAATTACGTTATTCGTTTCAAAGCACTTATTTTAAATATATTATAAAAATTTAATCTTCTTTAATTAAAAGGCACTTGTTATCATATATTATTCAACTGCTCAATAACGTTGAATAATTTTCATAAGAAGCATAAACGGGTAAACATTTGCTTATATTGGTATAAATTTAGAAAAATCAGATTTTCCGCATGGGTTTGGCTTATATCTATGCAGCAAGTGTGTTTGACGATTCCAAACGCGGTGGAAATACCACTGGTCAGCGACTATACCACTCAGCCGTTGTTGGTTGCTGATATCAGAATAGAATTTTATTAGATTTACAAATTTATTCTTTGTGTATTTTTTTCTTTGTGTGATACTTTTAATATCACTTTAAAACTGGGTGCAATATAAATCTTCAGATTCAAATTAATTACATTAGAAAGAAATTTAATGTTTAAAGTTAGACTTAGAAATGGGTAATACGGTATAAGTTCATTCTTTATATTTTCAATGAGAACAACTATACTTTTCATTATTTTCCTTTTTCGGTTTTCAAATAATGAAATAACAGGCAAAAAGTCAGTATATAATTTTTGAAAATTATTCTCTTTTCCATACAGACGAATTAAAATATTATTTCTTATATGATTTTTTTATTATAAACGTCTATAGAGCAGGCATATGTTCCAGATCTTTGAATCTAGGCTCTAAAATACCTTCGTAATAAACTAAATGTTATCATGTTGAAAAGAATCTAAAAAGAATATACAGTAGTAAAAAAATATTACTATAAATAAAGAACCACCAAAACAAGAAGAATATTAATAAGCAAAGAAGAGAAAATTGAAACAACAAAGTGGCAAACTATTAAAATGCATTCGAAACAATAAAAAAATAACTACTTCCCAAATAATATAATTCTACATCAAGGCGTCTTATAACAATGTATTATTTACGAAATTTCGTTTGGAGGTATATCTGGTACTTAGTTGGGAAATCTATAATGATATATGCAAAACATTCTGGAACAATTAAAAAAAGTAGCTAATTCACAAATAATATAATTCTACAACAAAGCATCCTATATAAATATAATATTTACGAAATTTCGTTAGGAGATGTACCTGGTACTTAGAAAAGTTGTGAAATCTATGATGATATATGCAAAACACTCTGGGAGGCGCTTTCAATTTATACATACGAAGTCTGAAATACAAATTTTGTGTAGATAGAAAAAAAATGCTCTTTTGAAATTTCATTAACTTCAGGAAATTTGATGCATTATGTTTTATTACAAAATAAAATAATGCTTTTTGTAGAAACAGCTCTGAAATATTTTTTTGCACAACAGATGCCTTCTATCAGTCTATGGTTGTAAGCAGTAATATAATCCCTTCAAGTTTAAAATAAAGAGGATATTAGAATAGAGAAAGCGTATTATGAAGTAAAAGAGAGTTCGACAACTAAAGATAAATACAAACAAAATTATATTTCTTAAAACAAGGTACATGCTAGTATATATTATAAGAATATATATATATATTTAGTAATTCTTATTGGTATATTGTTTCAGGTGTAATTCAAAAAGAGCGAGGTTCATAATTTCCATATAAAATGATTTACCTATTTGCTTAACAATAAAAAAATCTGATGTGGAAATCACACGACTTCTTTTTACGGCCTATTAAATTGCACACATTTTTTGCTGCATTTCAATTAAACTTGTCTCCTTGAATTTCAATAGAGATAAATTTCTCACTCAGTGAACTCAATTCTGACGCCGCAGCAGGGCAAAAATACATGAACCTCGCAACATCTTCATTAAAAATTGTAAAATACAGGAAGAACATAAAACATCTAATAATGTTAGTAACAGTTAATTTTTTTTGTTACAATCAAGATTAGTGTTTCTACGAAAAAACAAGCAATTCGGGCAGCGGAGAGGTCAGATTTTTCAGTGCACAAAATTGAAAATTTACTTCTAGTCCCACTCAGCAAAAACACACTAAAATTGATGCACAAACTGATTGAATTCACTATTCTAGAAGTCTTTCAGATGTAAACAAATGGCGGCCTCGTTAGGCTTATACAATTTAAACAACATTTAAATTGTCGAAAGTTCTACAACTATTGCATGCACATTAACTAAATGCATAAAATTGTTAACCGGAACATAAGAACAACATAATTCAACCACATTTACAGCAAAAAATTCACAATTTACCAACATGTGAGAATAAAACACTGAGCTTACCAAGCAGGGTACTAGAGTGGGTATACATCTATATATATTTATATACTTTTCCTGTGGCCGAATCCAACCAAAACGGATGGTGCACAACTGCATGTTCTAGCAGTAGTATGTACAAAATGTCAACTTTCTGAGGCTGCTAGTTTTTGAGTTATACGATATATATATATATATACCTACTCACGTACACACGTCACGAAAAACGACTCCTCTGAATCCATTTTAAAATCCATTTTCGGAAAAAAAAATTTTGCATGCAGAAACATCCTTCAATTTGAAGGTTAAAATGGATATTTTCGATCAAATATGATACCCGAAATGTTTCGTGATTACAATACTTCGTACAAGGAAGTGAAAAAGGAAAAGACACACTCCTATTTAAATGCTCAACACCATCCTTCAAACTAAAATGAGTCGTTTCTTTCTGAATATGGCTGAGAACTAGTCACAAAATCTCTTTTACTCTTAATGAAACCAAGGAAAATCTGAATTTATTAAGAGTAGGATATTTAACATAATGTATCTGAACAGGATACTTTGAATCATATATTTATTCCTAAGGTTTATATGTAACAAGTTTTCTCTAGCACTTTATAAAAAGGTTAATAAATTTGAAATAAATCTGAAACCAAGTAAATTTTGGTGCTAATTTTATTGTCATACTCTCTTCATTATTAATAGAAATGAAAGTTGAAAGTTCGAATTTCTCTCGAAGAATCCTCCATAAAATCCGGTCATCTTTAATACATAGCTAACACTTGCTTTACCATAATTAAATCAATGAACCAGCAAAGACAAACCGGCGGAAATAATTTAAAGAACAACTTTAAAACGATGCTTTATGTTAAATGTACTGAATGACGTTCTTTGAAAGGTACTTGTAGTTTTTTAGTGGCTCACTATCAGTATGATGACTCAAAGGCAATTTTAGCCTACCTGCTACCTTACCAACTCAAGTACTCAACAAACTCAAGGATTTCAAAAAAAGCAATGGCAACGCTGTACAGAAAAAACATTTTTATCTCCAGCGCATGAGACTGTGTATCGGAAAAATTCTAAAGATATGCTCAATTTAAAAGGATTTTGCTATATTTCTCTTGAACTAAATTTTATGGTTTAAGTATATCATATTAAATAAATAAAGATAACACACACGACTCTTTGAACGTAAATTTAAAATATGAAACCCTTCATATTTGGATGGCTCTTGGTACCGCTGTTTTATCACAATGCGAGAAACATACATACATTTATGCAGATTCATTATTTATTTTCTTCAAATATAATGCAGGGCGATAATATTTGGTGGCAACAGTCTGAAATGTGAAACGAACATTCAGAGTGACTCCACGCAAAATCGCAAAATGAAAACAATAGTTCCCTCAGAGAAGATAAATTTTGTCCAAACGTAACGGTCCTGACGCTTGTATTTAGCCATGATGAGTTGTCAGAACATGTTAAACGCAAATTAGAACTAGTGATAGCGATATCACTTTAAATACAGTTGCCATTCCGTTTTAAAATCAGATCATTTTAGTTGGAGCATTCCGTAGAAGCAAAATTTGATATATAAAAGCACAGTCCCAGAATTTCGAAAGTTTTAAAACAGCTGAAATATGATGGATTTTTGTCAGAATTCGTAATTTTCAGGCATAAAAATACACCAAGAAAACACTTCATTTCCAACGTACTACCACTATAATTATCCACTACATGTTTTCTTTTTTAGCACGAAAACCAAAAATATTTTAACATGAATTTATCTACTGAATTTAATAAGAATATATGCCAAGCTTCTTAGATAAAACCTCCTCACCTCGAACGTGCAAATCGATTTTTAATATTTTTCATTCTACATTCTATTTAAAAAAGGGACTTATGCTTTGGAAAGATCGGTTCATTTTTATCACCTTTTTCTTAATCAAATCTGGAGCTCGGAATAGCCTTCTTGCCACGTGACTATTATGTAAGTCGAACGTGAGGATAACGGCCCCGTCACGCAAAGCTTCGAAATTACCTATTAGAATTCTAAGACTACAGAATGGGAATATTTTATTCTTTCATTCCAGGTTTGGTAAACGATAGTTAACGAGCTCTATTTTTAGATTCATTTGCCAACGGGAAACAGGCACATATTA